AAAACATGCACCTTGTAACAAAAGTAAAAAAGCGCATTTTTTCCTAATAGACTTAAAAATATCATGTTAGTATTCTAAAGATGCGTTATTGTTGGGCATTTCTGTTACGCCGACCACCTTTCAGCTCACTAAAAAAAAGATTGCCTTTGGAATATGTTCGTCCCCCATACAGTATAAGTGCCCTGCCCAGCGTGACTGTCGGACTAAACGAAGTTCATACCATTTCGCAAGAATATCGCTGTTTGTGGTGCGGTCTTGCTACCGTATGTCCATGATGGTGTGCAAATATCTTTGGTGAAGGCGTTCAAGAAGTCTTAGTTGCTTTCTATAAAGTACTCATGTCTCAGATACACAAAGAGGGATTGAGTGAACCAATGCTTAATAGACACTGATTTTTGTAGACGGAGCGATTTATTTCGCCACACTCTCGCTTGGAGGCGTCCAAAAGCACGACTATCCCTGATGACGTCAACCTCCCTTTAAAGCAATGTGTCATTTGATACTATGTTTCCAAGATATGTGAAGTTATCTTCCACGTTAAGGAATGTCTATCCGCTGTGATCTTTGGGCTGAGTAGATTTTATTGGGTGACTTCTGAAACATGACTTCTGTTTTACCGAGTTTTATAGGTAAACCAAATTCGTTGACCGCGAGCTGGATATCATCAGGGCCAGTCTTAGGCCACTGATACCTATGCGACCGCAGTAGGCCCCAAACTTTCATAAACCCTGCGCTAAATCTAGGTGTTAATTATTAAATTAAACCATTAAAACTTTTAATAGGGTTCCCGTGGTCTCCTTGTTTCAAGGAGCTCCTGGAAATCTGAAACTCATAAAAATGTCCTTAAAAAAACAAAATTGTCAATTTGGGGTGTCAATCATCATGGTAAACGCCAATAATATGCATGATAAAAAAAAAAACGGCATTGTCAGCTTTCATTTAAAAAATGTAATGCAAAGACAAATTTATTTTCTATTTAAAAAATCTTAATTTTCACTAATTATCCTTATCCCTACCCTGACTGGGCCACGCACAATCCATTTCACATAGGGCCCTGCAAATGTTAGGGCCAGCCCTGGGTATTTATTTTCAGTGTGTGCAAGTAAGGCGTAGATAAGCTGTGTTATGACCATTTCCTATGTTCTGGTATTGGACAGTAGACTTCGAAGCTTGAACACATTGCAATAATTCACCAGCAAAATAATAACAAAGTAAAAGCTACCTACGGGTCTATGCAATTAAAGTGTAAACAATTTATAAAGCCTATAAAACACAATAACTAATCATTATTTTTCTTCCATAGTTTCACAATAGATCAATCTACAAAATGGTGCGCAAATGTTTAATTAGGCCAATTGATTCATTAAAACTTGTTCTTGTTTGTGAAGAAATGTCTTAGTGACGTAAGCGGTGTCACATTTTTTCCGTTTGTTTTTTCCCTTTGACGCCATATAGAAAATTTTCATTCATAAAACATTCTAGCCAAAATTAATTTTTCGATAATGAGACATTTTAAAACAGATATAACGGTTGACCTCGAGTTTTCCCTATATGGCCAATGAGCTGCGAATTTTTTTCACATTAATATATACATAACTTGAAATTTTAAAGAAAATCGTTAGAGCAGTTTTCAAAATATATATACATACATACATACAAAAATTGCTCGCTTAAGAGTATAGGATAGTAGTCGTCAGTCAATGCGTTTCAAACAAATAGTTTTCATGTAAAATGATTTTTTTTTTTTTTTTTTGCTTTTGCAGAAACTGTGGCAAAATATTTTGTGACCCCTGTTCCAGAAATAAAGCTCCAGTTCCTGACCAGCACCTAAATAATCCTCAGCGGGTGTGTCGGAGATGCTACTTTCGATTATCACAGCTTAGCCCTGGGGCTTCGTCTGATGGCCGCATCCCAGCGATGGTAGCTGATGGCTGAGCTTCCCACCATAAAAAAAAAACAACAGATTTTGTTTGTCTGCTAGCATGTGATGATGTTTATAATTAGTTTCCTTCATGATGACAGCAAGGTGCCGATGTCAGTTTATAATGAAAATGTGTCATAGATTAAGCTGTGATAGTATGTGGACGACCTTGAGGCGCTGCTTCTCTCCTGTAATGCTACTGTGGACAAGTCACGGACTGAATTTCAAAGTCATCAAATTAAACTGGGTGGTCATGTCTTTACTTGGTCAAAATGATCTGCAAGTCAGTTCCAGGTGCTGGGAAAGAAACCATTTCGTCAAAGATCTTTGTGTTGGATTTTGTAGCAGTTTGATTGTTCATTGGACAATAATATTGAATTTAAACTGTGGACCTATTAACATGTAAACAAGCATAGTCATGAGAATGGCATAAAGCTGTTGATTAGATTGAGCTGCAATGTGTTGTATCTTTATTTTGAAACTTTGGAAATATTTATTTAAATATTTATTTGCGCTGTTTCTTTGTGTGTTTGCTGAACCTCGTAGATTTTTGTCCTTCTTAGTATTTGTAACAACCACAATTTTCTGAGGCGGCCAGATTCAGAGTATTTTACAAACAAATGGGTTAGACTTGATAAGCACAAATAGTATTTTACTGTGCAATAATTGTTGCACCATGAACTTTTAAAATTTTGCAGCTTAAAGCTGTGGTTACTTGAGTAGCTCATTGTGAGAATGATTTTGTTAATTACATTGACACCAGTAGGTCCAACAACAGGGAATCTTAACTTTAACTTAACCATGAATTGAGTGAAGGATATATACTGAATGTTCTTGAAACTCAGCTTGCTAACATAGTATTGCCCCTGCTTGGAAGAATTAGATGATGTCCCTTATATTAATGCTGTGTTGAAGCCTTTTAGTGAACTTTTAACTGACTCAGGCCTAAACTGTAACTTATTGATTGTTGAAAGCCTGGAAGGCTGTGTCTGAAAGTGATTCCACCTTTCACAAAGACACTGGATGTTGATACAGAAGAAACAATAACTGGTCTTTCATCTTTTTTTTTTCCCAACTAAGGAGTCCACTATTATAATGCTATTTATTTAGATGTCAGCTCTCTAGCTGACACTCAACTTTGTTTGTTGTAGAATCCTGCTGCGCCATTACTTTGTATTGGCATGGTGATCTCATTCAACAATACTAATGCTTATTGTTCGAGGCTGATGGTCTCTAAGCATGAAATTTTGTTACTATGAGCTGGGTACTGTATTTAGCTTCAGTCTAACCTCAGGGCCATTGTATCAAAGGTCATAAACTAATTTTTCAAGGATTTCAGAAATGCTCATTTGCTTAGTAGTCAGTTTGACTGTAGTTTATACAACTTTCTACACCAAGCTGGGACTGGCATGCACTTCATAGTAGACAATTATCAACACATTATCATATAATAAAAAAAGTCATACAAAATAAATTATATTTAGTAATATTAACAACACACACGTACATAGTTTCTTTTGTGACCATGCTTGAGTGCCCTATTGATGTCCACCCTATAGTAGTCTAATAACACCATTGAAACTCAGCATTATCAGATCAGATTATCAATGAATGTTTTTTTTATGGCAAAGAGTAGATTTTGAAACACAATATTATGAAATAAAACTTTGGTGGCTGTGATAGAAAACATGTGTTAAACTATTTATTGCATTCATAGTTTCCATAAGTTAATCATCATTCATACACACATCAGTCTTCACCTGTATGTATCATCATTCATACACACATCAGTCCTCACCTGTATCATTCATGCACACCATTCTCACCATTGATACATTATCTAAAGCATATTTCCATTTTATGCCTAATATTGGATTAGCTGGATACCTTTGAGGATAAAACAAATCTTTGTTGAATGCCTTCTTGTTTGGCCAGAAATGTATTTCTTAAGAAGCCAAAAGAAACCATCAAAATGTTGACTGTTGGATGAAACCAGGTATTAGGTATGTGTGAATAGTGTGGGTGTAGTGAGGCAAGGAATAGTTCTTGGTCTGGGATTGCTTTTTGGTTAAGATGTGTGTGATTGGTTGGATGTTTGTCTCTAAAATGAAATTTCTTTAGTTGGAGTTAATTACATAATGATTTGAGACATTTCTTTAGTTTGAGTTAATTGAATAAGTTTTTTCTTTAAGTTTATTAAAAAAATGACTTTTTTTTTTTCGTCACCTTAACTTCAATGTTTAGTTTTGGTTACATTTAACTTGTACGTAGGAATTAACTTCCATCAGTGAAATACCAAAGAGATTGATGTCAGGGATTCATTTGTAATAGCATATTCATTGGGAGCATGGTGACATGTAGGTTTTGTCACACTATTTAGACCTTGTGTCGATATATGCAGGGCTGAATGAGAATGAAGTCCCAGGCTTTAATTGATGGTCTGTGTATTTCTGGGTGTAAGGTAGCTTGCATAAATTACAGTTGATAGTGGAGTGAAAACACCGGACTGTCTGGCTATGACACTATGGTGCCCTGCTGCTTTTTTGATTCTGTGGGTGTGTAAACTAATAAATACCATTCTTGACTACTATGATTGTTTGCTTCTAATAAAAGACCTTTTCACAATCACACAGCTAAAAGTGAACAACATTGTTGACACACAGGTCACCTGCATTGTACTCCAAACTTTGTGACCTCTTTGTACATCCAGATATGTCAGTGCTAGATATTGCTTGGGGGCTCTAAGCTAGAGCTTGTGTTGCCTATATGTCCAGACTTGACTTAGAATTCACAGAAGACTTAATTTATATGATAGAAAGATCAGTTAACTTTGTATTTGAAACCAAAAGTTGAGTTTTCCTCATTTTTGTTCAATATTTCTAACAAAAAAATCTTTATAAAAATTATAAAAAATCTACTTTCATTGATTTTAGATTTTAAATGTTCTTTTTTTTTTTCCTCACTGCATCTGTCTGGCTGAGTTTTTGACAGTCTTTGACTTGCTGCTTTGGTTGGTTGTTGAGTTTCTAACAGTCTTTGACTTGCTGCTTTGGTTGGTTGTTGAGTTTCTAACAGTCTTTGACTTGCTGCTTTGGTTGGTTGTTGAGTTTCTAACAGTCTTTGACTTGCTGCTTTGGTTGGTTGTTGAGTTTCTAACAGTCTTTGACTTGCTGCTTTGGTTGGTTGTGGATATGAAGACTTGTTGATTGGGTTTTTGCTAGATTTATAACTGCATTTAGAATGGCATTCTTTGGTCTCCATTGAGACAGTGATCAGGTGTGTTTCAAGCTCCTGGCTTTGTTGTTTGTTTTTATTGCTGAGACAGAATGCAAAGAGAAAGTCATATTTCTTTATTGCATAAGAGTAGATAGTACCAGTAGATAGGACACAAACTTTGAGGAGACAAACGGACTCCACAGCCATTTTCATTGGTAGGGGGATTCTGTTATTAAATTAGTCTTGGCTGTAAAGCAGAAAGAAGATAGACATTGAGCCTCAAGTCGTGGGGTGAAAAGCAAACTATTAGGGATGAATGAAGGTTAAGGTCAGAGTGTTGAGAGTTACAAATATTGAAATACAGTTCAGACCTGGGTTGAAACCAATGTAGTCAAACTCCACACCTAGTAGCTGGCATCTTTGTTTAGCATGTTGGTCAGTTTTGTAAGTTAGGCTAACAGAACTAAATGTTTAGTCAATGAAATGATTTGCTCAACAATTATGAACGAGTTCACAAAATATGGTTTGACTTTTTCTATCATCCATCCCCACCCCTTTTCATTCCCATTGTTCTGTGTTGCATTGATTGTTGTTACTTTGTTACATGCTTGTTTGATAATTCAATACATATTTTAAAAAATACAATTAGTCTTTATAGTTTTATTTGTCCAGTAGTATATTTAATGTTCTAATTTTTTTTTTAATACTTATTTTTGTTCTCTTATGTAATGATTTTGCATTAATTATGCAAATATTTAAACATATTGTAGGTTAAATAAATTGTGTTAAAATGCAGGTCAGTGCTAAAGCTGATTTATTTTTGTATAGGCCATGCTATGATTTAAATATGTACATTTGATAACTCATTTACTTGTGCTTTGTTTGGAGTTGGTTGAACTTTGAACTTTCTCTCCAAGTCTTCAGTCTAGATTTATAATTAATAGAAACAATTTTTTTTTTTTCAAGTTTATTTATGACTGAAAGATAATTAAATTCCATTTGAAATTACAATTAAAATTTGAATTGAATTAGCTACTGTGTTGTGGTGTTTTGAAGACATGTTTCTAATATTCCCATTTGAAGGCTGGGTCCTAGTTCAGATAGAAGGATTGGTGTTCATTTATAGAACAATATATGTATGTGTTCAAGTAACTAGTTCATCTACACTTTCCACTCTAATGTTCAACAGATCATGTTCTGGCGCTATTTCAAAGATATTATTATGAATATTATTATGTGTATTAATCTGCCCTGCTCTGGAGATCGACCATGAAAACTAAATTATATCTTATCATCGCCAAAAGGGTTACCTCCCCTCTTCAAAGACATTAAGAAAGAATGAATGGATAGTTGCATTAGTTGCGAAAAATGGTAGAACCCAAAAAGAAAAAATTGTTTTTCAAAAATAAAGCTTAGATAAGGGAAAGAACTGCTAATTACTGACATTTATCTGAAAAGAGCAAGGTTTAGCTCCTTTTTTTTTTGCTATTTAAAATAAAAGGAATTTATTAACCAATAGGTTAATTTTTGGATTGTTTCATGTATTGTCACCGACTATAAATAATTATGCAAAATTTCAACTTGATCCAAAACATGGAAAGTGGCAGAGTAAATGTGTTCAAACAAAATAAGGGAGTTAAATCTGTAGACTCATCCACATCTCTCAGTAAGTAACAATTATTCCCTTTAGTAATTAAAAATAATTCTTTTTTTTTTATTGATTTATGTCTTGTTATGTGCAATGAATAATGTTCAAGTTTCAACTTAATCCGTGATTAGGAAATGGGAGACATAAACATGTTCAAAGTTTGTACCCAGACAGACAGAGTGAGTTGATAGAAGCTTTGTACAAATAAGTTGTTACAATGCCCTCAATTTGTCTTTCTCTTTGGAGTGGGGAAAAACTTGTGTTTGTCTTATTGTACTCAAGACAGTAACTAATGGCACAATTAAGACTGACAGGACAAAACTGTTTCTTCTTATGAATTAAAGATGTTACTTCAAAAAATGGAAGATGATTACGTCCTACGAGTGTCCACAGGTTAATCTAGTCATGCATGTTAATCAATGATCTAAACTCTGACAAGCCATTTTGTTTTCCTGTCCGATTCAGGCAACCCATTCCATGCTCTAATAGCACTAGGGAATGAGTATTTGTACAAATTTGTCCTAGCATATGGAACTCGTGAGTGGTGACTAGAGTGTAGGCCTACTAGAGCTTAGCATGACAGAATAAAAACATCCGGGGACGTTGCCCAGGGCAACCAAAGGTAGATAATCAAACGAGAAGGGTTGAGGCAGGAGGATGCAGCTTGCCAGGAGCCTTATGTGGATCAGATGAGTGAGGAATACCTAGATCTACATAGAACATTGGGGAAGTAGATTATACAAACAATCATTAATTAATATGTACATAATATTAACATAGATTGTCTCTTCCCGCCCCAAGCTGTCACTCTACACACTGGCCTATATGATATGTCACACTTATTGACATCACGTGGCTTGGGCTAATAAAGAAAGCTGGCCTAGAGGCGCGACGTTCTACTGTTTATCAAGTGGTTGTAGGTTTGAATCCGTAAGAAATTTTAGAAACAAGTTCTAAGTCCCACTGTAGGCGAAATGTCTTTTTCATGACCTTATCTTGTAAATTACAGATGTTCTTTCAAAGAAGTTTGACGGATTAAATCTTGCTTGTGATTTTCAACTCTTTTTCTATTCGGACGAGTTCTTCCCTATAGTTGATGTGTATGAGTGTGTGTGTGTGTGTGTTACAATGACATATAAAGCAGGGGCGGACTGGGTATCACAATCGGCCCGGGCATTATGCTTACGTTGGCTGCACTGGGGCAGTAAGTAAAGTTTCCCTTTCAGACAATGAGGTCTGAGGCGAGTGATGGTTTGAAGACCCTCCCCTCCCGGCTACGCCCATGTGTTATATTATAGGTGTAAGCCTAATTCTCTACAAAATATATTAATTTTTATAACGCATCGAAAACTGGATGTATGCATTCGTAGGATTACATAATGTATTCTATTTATACATGTATGTAGTCTGAAAACTATAGACAATACAATAGCAGCCTAATGAGTTTGAAGCTTTTTGGTATTACTTATAGATTACAGACGTTTCTTCAAAAAAATAAAATTGTTACGTGTTACGCATTTCATGTGTCAATCTAGTCATGCATGTTGATCTGTGACTTAAAATAAGCTCAATCATTGATTTTCCTGGCTGACTCAGGCAACCCATTCCATTAAAAGAAGAGAAGGCAGAACGGTTAGAGAGGCACTTAATGTGACAAGCTCTTGCTTCTTCCTAGTACATTCTCAAAAAGCGCGATTTGTATATGAATATACCATGACCCATTATTTAAAATATAAATCTCCTTTCATTAAATATCGGATGTGACAGCGCAATATAAATTATTGTAATAATTTTTATCATTAATGACTTCATACTAAGCATAACTTTGCCATTAATTATAATAGGATGAAAATTGATTGAGATCTAGATTTATTTTTTAATTAAATATTTTTTTTTTGTAAGCCTTAAGTGTAGTATGTTTAGATCTATGTTATTAAAAATAAACAAAAAGAAACTTGCTTTTTCTTTTAAAATCGCAGAAAGTAAAGCTTTATACCCATATTGAGCTGGGAATATATTGGGTGGTTTGCAATTTCGCGGCTGTGTGTATGTGTTAAAGTTAATTTCTATTAAGTAGTGTTAGCTTTTTTTTTTGCTGCGTTATATCAATGTTTTCTAACTTAACCTCTCTCATCCCTCTTTTTTGGTTAAATTGCATTGGAACCATTAAAAGACGGGGGAGGGAAGGAGCAAAAAAAATGGGAGTGCCATCAAAGGCCCATGCCGACCAGCAAAATGATTAGGCCAAACACAACCTCGAAGACATCAAAGCAGTCCATGCCGCTCGTGCATTGCAGAAAGTACGGTCTAACGTTTTGCAAATGATAATACGTACAGTGTATAGTGTATTTTTTTTTTATTCTTGTTGAATTTCAAACAAAATTAATTGTAATAAGAATTTTAAAAAAAAACTGTCACTTTTTTTTAAGTTGTCTGCATTGATTTTTTTTTCTTTGGTCGCGACCAGACCGGCCCATTTGGTACCGGCCCACCGGGCATTTGCCTGTTTGCCCATATAGCCAGTCCGCTCCTGATATTAAGCCACTATAATTTATAAATATCAAGTTAACCAGTTTAGTCATTTTAAACAATAGTGGAGAGTCAAGTCAAAACATTTAAATATAGGTCTAGTCTAGAATCTATTTAAATGAAAAAAGAATTTTCATTCTGAGTACTAAAGACATAGACATGTATAAATATATGTCTAAATAGCAACAAAAAAAAAGTAAGATTGATTATTTATAAACCAAACCATAAACATTGACCAGTCTATAATAATAATAAGGCTTGTCTTTGAGTCCGAATATTACTGAGGAATGCAGTATTTCCCGTGGCTGCGCAGCCCCAGCTGTGACCTACATATTTTGCCACATCCAAGACAAGCATAAAACATTGTCCGCAGGTGGTCGATTTAGATTTTCTTTTCGCCGTCTGCGTTTGTCCTCGGCAGCGGATTTCCTTTTGGTTTCAAAAATGTATCCCGCTGCCTTCGTGAGTGACCTCCAGATGTCTCGCTCTGAGGCCGCATGCAACCAGGTGCTTTCTTCTATGTCAGCCAAGGAAAGTTGACGCCTAAGCTGGTCTTTGAAGCGTTTCTATGGAGCGCCTCTGTTACGTCGACCACCTTTAAGCTCACCAAAAAAGACTGCCTTTGGCATACGTTCGTCTCCCATATGGGATACGTGCCATGCCCAGCGTCACTTTCGGACCATAAGAAGTCCCTCTATACTGTCCATACCGCGTTGGCAAGGACATCGCTGTTTGTAGTGCGGTCTTGCCACCGTATGTCCATGATGGAGCGCAAGCTTCTTTGGTGGAAGCGCACAAGAAGTCTTAGTTGTTTTCTGTATAGTGTCCATGTCTCAGAGCCATATAGAAGGGTTGAGAGTACCACCGCCTGGTAGACATTGATTTTTGTAGGCAGGCGGAGCGATTTGTTCCGCCAAACTCTCGCCTGAAGGCGTCCAAAAGCGCTACTGGCCCAGGCCAGACGTTTATCAACTTCCCTTGAAAGTGAGGCGTCATTTGACACTCTACTACCTAGATATGTGAAGTAGTCTACTACGTTAAGGGACTGTCCATTTACGGTGATCTTTGGTGCTGAGTATGTTTTATTGGGTGACTTCTGGAACATGACTTCTGTTTTCCAGAGGTTTATAGATAAACCGAAAGAGGAGGCAGCGTATGCAAATTCGTTTCCCGCGATCTGGAGATCATGTTCATTGTGAGCTAGCAGGGTACAA